TTCCTTCTCTGGCCTGCCTCCCCGGTCTTATCTGCCTCCCTCAGCTTGTTTCACTTCTTTTCCTTGGCTTCCTTGTTCCCTTGCCTCCTTCTTTCATCCCATTGTCCGCTTCCTGCTCGCTCGTGGCCTGCTCACCCTGTTCCAAGGCTGCTTCCTCACCTCCTCTTCTTCCCCACCTCCGTTCCGTGGCCGCACGTTGCTGCCTTCATGGCTGCTGCAGCCCCCTGGGTTTTGGGCTGCTTTAGAGCAGATTCTCATACTTCTGTTAACACTGGTGGAGGCAAGGGCCAGGGGGGCAGGCTGGCCTGTCGCCCTTCCAGGACGTGAGTCACACACCAGTGACGATCTCACACTCTCGCACGTGTTGGTCTGAAGGGTTCTCTCGGAGTCCAGTGGGACTCCGCAGTAATTGTACTAATGTACCATCCCACCAGCTGTAAAGGCCTTCCTTTTCCTCTACATCCTCTCTTGCACTTATCATTATTTGTGTTCTTGAGGGCTGCCATTTTGACTGGTATGAGATGAAATCTTAAGAGTATGGTTTTGATTTGCATTTCCCTAATTGCTAATGATTTTGAACATTTTTTCATGTTTTATTGGCCATTTGTATTTCTTCTTTGAAAAGTATCTGGTCAGTTCATTTGCTCACTTACCAAATGGGTTATCTAATTATCTGGTGTCTTTTGAGTTTTTTATATATTCTGGATATTAATCCTCTGTCAGAAGAGTAGCTAGCAAAGATTTTCTCCCATTCTGTGGGTTCTCTCTTCACATTCCTAATTGTTTCCTTTGCTGCGCAGAAGCTTTTTAATTTGATGCTGTCCCATGTATTAACTCTTACAAGCCTTTAGTTTAAAGATTATACCTTGTGGCTGTGGCGGGACAGCAGATGAGGAAAGTGGGAGGTGACTGTTCCCTGTGTGGTCTCAGAGCTGGAGGAAGAAGGGTCCTAAGCTCATTAGACCTCAGCCAGGAGATGGGGACTAAAGTGTTATATTCAGAGACAAGGGTAGGGGTTGATTTGTAGATGCCCTAGCTCAAGTGCCAGCATGTGTCACTGACACATGGTGAAGGAAAGAGAGAACATGTTGTGAGCCTAAGGGCTGGGGATGGAGAATTTGTCCCCCATTTCAGGTTGCTCAAAACTACTGTGAAGGTCCATTTCATTGCTTCCAGTTCTTTTAGCAAGTCATCAAATTATACCAGCAAAAGTCGTGTTCTCCTGATCCCAAGACCCAGAGAACTACCCAGTGGGACTCTGGCGGGAAAGGAGCTGGTTTCCCGTTCCTTGGTTCTTTCTTCCTCTCTGTCACAGGATGGTGGAGTCCATATGTTGTTGAAACTGAAAAATGTTAAACTCTCAAGAAGGTCAAGCTGGGAAATATGTCCTTGAGATGCCACCAAGGCTCTGTAGGAGAAGTGAATATGCTCTCTGTGAGGGGTGTGGGGATCTGCTCTGGTGAAGGGGAGGGGTGACCTGGGGCAGTTTCCTATGGCAGTTCTGCCCTTGCTGCCTCTCCGGCCTGTGGCTGCAGCAGCTCTTGCTGGAGCACACAGTGCCTTATTGCTCCCTGAGCAGCAGGAAGGGCCATGCTGGCCAGGTCTCCCTGGAAAAAGCAGAAATAAATCAAACACCAGCTCCTACTTCACATCTGATGAAATTCTCCATTTCCGCTCCAAATTGAATTCCTCCCGAAGGATGTGAGCGGCTCAGGGAGTAATGAAGGCGCTCCTTCCTCCTCTGCTTGAAGCATGTTTTACATTAAGGGAGGCAGCATTCTAATCTGGGTGGGGAGGTGGCGTTAAGGGGTAGTCTTGAGAACCTCTTCAGACCAGACATGATCTTCTTAGTCTCAAGGGGCAGGCAGCAGGCATGCAGTTGGCTCTGCAGAAAGCAGCCTCTGCCAGGCTGGTGGTCTCCTGGGGAAGAAGGGCAGCAGTGGCCTGCCTGCCGTGGCTGCCCACCACCCCTGCCTGCCCACCCGCCACCAGATGGTGGAGGAAGCGAGCAGGAGGTGTGTGCTCCCGAGATGCATGGCATCACTTTTCTATCCACTAGTGACTCAGAGAAAAAAAGAAAGGAATATGTTTTAGGACGAAGATGTTATTGAAGGCATTATCTTCCATCCTCTGTAGTGGGACACAGTGGGGACACAGTTTGGCATTTGCAGAGGCAGTTGACACAGACTCTTTTGGGGGGGAAGAGACCCCATTTCCCAGTGGGCCTTGTCAGAGTGAAGACTGATCACAGCAGGTTGATGGGACCCTGAGTCAGATGCTAAGGACACAGGCGGTGGGACAGGCCTGGAGTGAACTGCAAAGGTCAAGGTCAAGGTGGTACTAGAAACTCTACAGGTGTGTTCTGGGTTGAAGATGGACTTGAGGTATTTTATTCATCAGTGAAGGAATAGACAGTATTGCCCTTGAAGTGGGCTTAAGAGCATGGTTTCACTTTTCTTCACTTGCTGTTGAAGAAAAGCAGTTTTTTGGGGAAAAAAAAGATAGTGGTTTTAAAAGTCTGCTTACCTTAAGAAATTCTGACAGGGTCAAAAAGGGAAGGAACTTCTCCTTGAAAGAATATTCAGTTGATCCTTTTATGTTGGAATTTTGTTCATACCCTTGAGAAAGGTTATCAAAACTTCAGTCTGTTTTTATTTTAATTTTAAGAAAGAAGCCATCTCCTTCTGAGGGAAATAGCCCCAGAAGACGCAGTAGGTAAAATCCAACCTCAGAGGAAAAACTAGGCTGCTGGAGGCGTGAGAGTGAGGGTCCCAACAAGAAAATTGCCTTTTAGGGAGAGGCTATGTTTCCACTGATAACAGGGTCATTTGTATCAAGTCTAGGGGCCATCTGGGAGGATGTTTAAACTTCAGTCTCCTCAGAAGACAGTAGAAAATACATTTGTCCCAGACTGGAAGAAAGGATGTTGGTGGAAGTGGGAATTCATGTCTAATTCAGCAATGTCAGGATCTGCCCCAAGGCGCCCAGGCCTGGGTGGTGCCTCCAGTGTGCGGAAGGGTGGGGGAGGAAGTCTGGTGGAGACTCAGAACTGTGCAAGGGGAAAAAATGCAAGGGCAGGAAGGTGAAATGCCACCCCCAGCCGCTTTCCTGCATTCCTTCAGGCCCTAACAGACGGTTATTTGCCTAAGTGGGCCTTAGCTGGCCTTCCCCTGGGACAAGGCAGCAGGCAGTCCCTCTAGACAGCAGAGGCCTTTTCTTCCTGAATGGTTTTGTTGGTGTTTCAGTCATCATGTAGAACCTTCCTGAGTGGATGGTCAGCTGTCAGGTCTCCGAACCAACATGCCCATTCCCTGGCTGGGAGACCCTTCCCAAGCTTTCCCAAGTACGCTCATCTCTGAGCCTGTGTTATAAGGCCTCAAGTTGCTTCTGTTTTGTTTCAGCCAAAAGGGTGAAATGCTGCCAGCAGTATGTCTGGAATGTTATTTACTTGGTACATTTCTGTGGCTTTTCTTGTAGCATTGCACATGCCAGAGCCTGGGGTCATTTACTTGAAAATGCCAGGTTGCACAGTCTGTCTTCTCAACAGGGTAACTTTCTCAGTAAGGGGAAGCCAGCTCCTGTGCCTCTCAGTTCCTCCCTCCGCCTCCCTCTCTCCCTCCCTCCCTTCTTTCCTTTCTTCTTTCCCTCCTTTCCTCCCTCTTGTCTTCTCCCTTCACATCTTCATATATACATGTGTACACCCACACAGACACACACACATGTTTTTCTGAGTTAGTGGTCTGACTGTGGAATCGCATCCCTTTGTCCTTAGTGCCTCCACTCTAAGTTGGGTTTCTGGGGACTCCAGAGAGCCCAGCAGAGGCCCTTGCATTTGTGTGCCTTGTCTGTTACTACTGCACGTGAACGTTGTCAGCTTTGGCAGACTGAGTCCTGCAATTGCCCTGAGCCCCTGGGCTGAATGGGTGATGTTGTGCAAGAGAGATCTGGGTGGGGTCTCTCCAGCGGTGGCCGTGGGGGCGGATGAGAAATCAGCAAGGAGTCTTGGCTTGCTCAGAGCTGACATGATGGCAAACAAATGGCTTTTGAAAGAAAGAACCAGTGTGTGCAGTTTCTTAATTTTAAAGGTTTCACAACTGGGTTTGTTCAATTGATGAAGAAGAGATTTTTAAGAAGGAATTCTTCATTAGGAAGACTGTAAACAATTCCGAGATGAAGGATAATGCTGGGTAGAAGCCGAGGAGGAGGAGTTCTGTTTGCCGCTTCTTTCCTCAGCCCCCTTCCTCCCCTTCATTCATCTATGCAATTTTAATCATGGTATTTGGGGTTTTAAAACAAGGTATGGAAAATGAGATTAGATAAATCTCCCCATCTGGTGCCAGCCCTGGGGCCGTTTGCACACCTGGGTGGGTCAACTCCCTACCTCCCCCATTTTTTCCTTAGGTCATGTGAGTCTGTTAGTGCCTACAGATTCCACTGAAAATCTTTGTTTTCCAAAGGCTCAGACCTTATCTGGGTCTCTTGGAAACCTCCCACACCCGGGGCACCTGTTGGATTGTTAACTTCCACCAGGCCCAGTGAGCAATGGAAAATTTGGGGTCCCGTTCTGTTTTGTTTTTTCCTGTCCTTCTGCATGACTTCCCGATTCGCCTGTGAGCTGCTGGGATTGGGCTGCAGGGTCTCCTTTGATCACTCTCCTGACAGCAGGGCTTCACATTCCCACACCTGCTCTTCTTTTACAGTCCAGATTTCAGAGTAAACGCTTCCATTGCCTTGTAATTTTTTCAGTATAAAACTTTGGTGCAGGTTACTTATTACAGGTAATAGCCACTTGATGACGGAGACAACTGCTGGCAGAAACGGCAACCTGAACTGCTGCCAGAAACATAAACTGCCACTTTATTTAGGTCTGAAAGCGTCTCTCTCCAGTCGAGCAGTCATGATCTAGCATGCACACCATAATAACAGGCTCGCCTCGCCGGGCTAGAAAGCCACCCCTGAGGACAGGCTCTAACAGGACTGCACGTGTTTTCTTTCCACAGCCCACACATCATCTTCCTCTCTCAGAGCACCTTGACAGGCATGAACCACCTCTGTGGAACGCGTCTCTGCCATGAAATTGCTCACGCCTGGTTTGGCCTTGCCATCGGGGCCCGGGACTGGACAGAGGAGTGGCTCAGCGAAGGCTTCGCCACTCACTTGGAAGATGTGTTCTGGACCAAAGCACAGCAGGTGGGCTTAAAGTGACCCTAAGTATTTCCCTGCCCAGGGTCGAGTTCCACGTGCAGTCATTTACTTGTTCGGTGGGTACATACTGAGTACATGGGGCATTGTTTTTGCTGGGAAGATGTCTGTGTATATCAAAAAGGCAAGACCCTGTTCCCCCTGGGTCCAAAGATGAAAAACAGAACAGACAAACAAATGAAGTGGCAGCATGCTGGTGGTGAGAGGACTATGGGAAAGACGGGTCCCATAGAGAGTGGGGGCAGGGGTGCTCTCTCGAAGGTGGTCAGAGAAGGCTTCTGGTAAGGAGATACTTGGGCCGAGATATGCAGGAAAGGTCATGTGAGCATTCCTTTGTGATTATGGTGACATTGGCCCAGTGTTTCAAAGAATCAGCTTAAGATGTAAATCAAAAGTCATAATCTCAGATGTCTGCTGGCAAATGATGAAGGAAGAACAAAGCAGCTGGTGCTGTAGATTAGGGAGCACTGAGGACTATGGCAGATTCGCAACTCCTACCAGCTCCAGCCAACCGGATGTTGAGGGAGGGGCTTGATACAGCCTAGACTTGTAGTTTTTTAAGGAAATCCATAAACCTGAATTTTTATGTGAAGTTTACTAATTTTAAAAATATTATACGAATCAGGAGATGGAGATGTGTAACTCAGTGGGAGAGCATGTGCTTAGCATATGCAAGGCCTTGGGTTCAGTCCTCAATGCCAAAAGCAAAAAAAATATGTATGCAAATCAGGCATACCTAGTGACCAGAGCTGGTTGACATGCATCCACTGCAACCTCTACTTTAAAGAATTGGCCATCAGTTCTGGTGAGGATATGGCAGCTGACCTGCTTCCTGAATACTTCTCAGTTTCTAATGTTTGGGTCCCTTACACATTGGACTAGGTGGCATTTTCTAAATCCCAAGTGTGTGCATACTTGTATGATTTTGTTCAAGGTAGTTCTGCCCACTGACATCTCTTTGTATTTCACTAACCAACTTGAGGCTCGTTCTTGGGATGGCCCGTGTCCACCCACAATTCTCAGCACTGCCTATACTAGTCAGCTTTTCTTGCTATGACCAAAATACCCCACAGAAAACAGTGGAGGGAAAGTTTATTTTCGCTCAGTTTCAGAGGTCCAGTTCATGGTGGGCCGACTCCATTGCTTTGCACCAGAAACAAGGCAGCACCTCATGGCAGAAGGGCACAGCAGAGGAGAGCTGCTCCTCCAGGAAGCAGAGAGAGAGAGAGAGAGAGAGAGAGACAGACAGACAGACAGACAGTGAGGAAGGGCCTCTGGGAAGAAGCCCCCTTCCAGGGCATGCCCAACTCCTCAGACCCATCCCGCCTGCCTACAGTTACCATGATGAGTCCACTCAGACTGGGGTGGGCTGATGAGATTGCAGCTCTCTCGATCTAGTCATTTCACTTCTGAATGTCCTTCTATTGATGAGAGCCTTTGGGGACACTTCACGTCCAACCATAACACTGCTCTCCTATTAACTTTGAACTCCCATGGTGCTTTGCTCTTTACTCTTTTTCTCATTTTTTCCTTCTTCCTTCTACTGTGTGATTTTTCTCATCCTCATAGCTTGGACTACACTCTCTTCCACAGTGAACCTGCATCTCACATGTCCTATATCCTCTTTGATCACGGTTGTAGAGCTAGCGGAGTACACACATGTAGAGGCCACCTGCTAGATGGGGGGTTGGGGCAGGTTCTGAGATAGACCAGGCTTTGTGTCCCAGCTTGGCTGTTCACTAGCTTTCTGAGTATAAGCATAAGTGTAGCCCTGGTGAGCCTCAGTTTCCCCATTTGTAGAATGGACGGGAGGAGGCTTACCCTCACAGAGTGAGTGGGGTATGTGTGAATGAGCTTAGCAGTATCAGACACATGCAAGAAGTGTTCGTTCTCTTCCTCTGATTTCCCACCACCCTGCTCGTAAGTAGATGTCCAGCAAGGGTTTGATATAAACATACTGGCATGATCTCTTTCTTCCCTGGGGGCTTCCAGTCTAGGCAGTCAGATTGGTGCTTTGGCAGCTGTGTGCTTCAGGTCTCTGATGGTGGTGCCTCTGTCATTTACCACCTGCACTTCAAGTGGTTCCCTCCTTTGTCTCCTTGCTTGTTCCTGCATGTAACTACCCTGAGTATGTCCCTGCTCCTGACAGAAGCGGGCTGGGCTGCGTCTCACAGGCACCTTCTCTGCCCACCCTGTGCTCCATCCGTGGGTGTAGAAGAGTGAGGATAAGAAGAGCTGTTAGTGGAAGGAAGAGGGAAATGAGGCAGAGAGGGAGATAGCATCCCTTGGAGTGTCCCAAGCTGGAGAGGCCAGGTCCCAGTGCATCAGGAAAGCCTCTGTGGAGGAACGGCTTCTGCCATGGGCCTCTGGGAAGAGAGGCTGCCATTCTCCAGCCCCTCACCCCTGAACCTGCCCCAAGGGTCACCTACCACATAGCAGTAAGTGCTTGGTAGCTCTTCAGGGAGTGACAACGCTCCTGGCACTGGTGCGCACCTGCAGGCCCAGGGACTCAGAGGCTGAGACCAGGCTCAGTTAGAGACCAGCCTTAGCAACCTCCTGATAGGCTCTCAAAATAAGAAACAAAAGGGGTGGGATATAGCTCAGTGGTCAATTCCAGCACCATAAAGAAGAAAAGGTGAAAACCGAACACCCCTCAGGCAACAGGCCGTTATCCAGATTCCAGCGGGAACTTTGGAAATGTTTTCAGAGCACATCGTTGCTCTGAGCACTGCTTTGCTGGCCACACTGAGCCGGTATCTCGGGGGTGCCCACATCAGACCTTGCAAGCAGTGAGGAGCACGTGGGTGGGGAGGGGCAGTGCCATCCCTGGAACTCTCCTGCTGGAGAAGCTGGGAGCAGGCACTGGTGGCTGTGGTCTCTTGCTGCCCTGGAGACTGTGCTCTGTGGCACAGCAAAGAGGGGAGTGAGAACCACTGAATAAAGAGACGGACCATGGTGTTCCCCGCAGAGTGGCATACACAGGGACAAGTGGGTTGAGTTGCAAGACTGAACCACACGACTCACCAACAACTAGATAAAGCCTAGACTGCTCCACTGGTGTGTCGGTGCACAGCCACCCCCTGCCCTCATCAGATTCTGCAGACCTTGGGTTTCAAGCGATAGGCGTTTTTCCTCGCCCATTTCTAGAGACTGGCAGTCCCAGAGGAAGCTGCCCTCAGGGTGGTTTTTGGTGAGGACTCTCTTCTGGTGGGCCAATGGCCACGTTCTTGCTTGATCCTCTCATGGCCTTTCTTCCATGCTTGAGGAGAGGGAGCAAGTCTCTTCCTTTTTTTAATTAGCCTAAGTCCTACTGGATGAGGACCCCTCTTATGGCCTCATTTAACCTTAGTCACCTTCTTAAACGCTATGTCCCCAAATGCAGCCACATTGGGGTCAGGCCTTGAGAACATGCTGAATGAGCAATCTGGTCTGCAGCAGGTGATCCTCTGCCCCAGCTGGCCTCTTGCACCCTCTTGCTGGGGGCGGCTGTCTGCTCCAAGCACAGTGTGCTCTTTCTAGGCCCCACAAACCTTGCGCATGCTCTCCTGCCCACTGAGACCTGCTCCCTGATGATTCCTGTCCTCCCCAAGGAGAGCTCAGATACCTCCTCCTCCACAGGAAGCCTCTGACCCCCCTGGTTGGCAAGGGGCACCTGGGTTTTTCCTTACCTCAATGTCACCTGTTAGTGTCCTGCCCAGACTCCTCATGGTAGAGGCTCTATCCACAGTGTCTCTGGGCCCTATAGGAGACTCAGTAAAATATCTATTGAATAAGTTTTTAGGGAACTTTGATTTCTAGAGAGGCCTGTAGATCCTGCATATTCTCCCTCCGTGGTGGGGATTATTTGGCCCGCCTCAGAAAGATTAGGGCCATGTGGCCTCAAGAGCACTTTCACGTGACAGCAGCTGATTCTGACCCAGTGGGCAGAGTGTGAAGGCCTTCCCCTTCCACTGAGTCTAAGCAGTGTTTATGTGCAAACGGTCATCTGGGTTCCATTAGCGGACACCACTGTAAACAGTCCTGGACGAAACTGAGGACTGAGAAGAGTTGGAGGTGAATAGACGCCCACAGCCCCCCACCCTCCTGTGCAGAAAGACAAGCAGGAAAGTGGGCTGGATGGGATCAAAGTGGAAAGGCTCCTACGGAAGCCCCCTCTCTCCAGGCCAGGCGTGTGTCCAGGGAGTGCAAGGTTCCAGGCCCAGGGGCCCTCCTGAGCTGGCTCTGCCTGCCAGCATGGTGGAGCGCGCAGCTGGGTCTTCCCTTGAGGAGCCAAGAGGTTCCTTGGGTGCAGGCTTTTCTGAATGGGAACAAGGTGAAAGCAGGGGGCAGGCCCTGTCATCCCTATGGAAAGAAAGCAAGCCATTCCAGGGGTCGGGTCTAACCAGCACAGTGACTCTTGTGCGTGTGTCTGTGTCTGGCCAAGCAGCTGTCACCCCACGAGGCCCAGGAGCAACAGGAGCTGAGAGCCTGCCTGCGCTGGCGTCGCCTCCAGGACGAGCTGCGGAACTCCCCGGAGGAGATGCAGGTGTTGAGGTAAAGCACCCAGGAGCCTGTGCCTGTCCTCTCTCCCCTCCCCGCCGTTCCTTCCAGGCTCTTCCAGGCCATCTGATGAAATCTACCCTGTTTCCCTTTTAAACCAAACCAGGCTGGGTTGTTCACCCTCCCAGGGATGAGCATGTTGTGTGTTAAGTCTTTCAGGGTGTGGGTTTCAGTCTGCCTTTTGACATTTTCCTGGTATCTTTATTCAGGAAAAAACTAGCATGAGGCCATTTCCGGGACCAAATTCTCCGTTTGAAGTTCTAATAGTCACTTTATGTGGTGGCTGCAGACATGGAGAAGGTTGGGGTTTGGCGGCCTGGCAGACAGTAACCCTTTAAAGCCAAAGGAAAAAAATCTTTAGGAAAATATTGATTCCTAAGTGTTTAGTAGGAACAGATGTGCGAGTCAATGGGGCTTTTTGTTTCAGATGTAGCCCAGCAGGAAGCCTGTGCCCTCTCTCTGGGGCACTAGGAGGAGGCCACTCCCAGCTCCTGAGTTTTGTTTTTAGAGTGTGGCTATGGCACTTGTAGGATTAATTCTTGCCATTTTTCCATTTTTGCCCCTTTCTGATTTGCTCCTTTTCTGTAGTCCTCTAAATAGTTCTTTATCTGAAGCTGTGTGACCAGGCCCCTCCCCAGGAGTGCTAGGTTGCTATGGCAACAGTAGCTTCCCAGGGCCCCATCTTGACTAGAGTCCAGTGTTTGGAGTCTGTGGAGTCTGCAGTCACACGGGTGGGAAGGACGGCCTTCCAGGTGTCGTTGTTCCTTGTCCATTTTAGATGGCCTCCCTGAAGGCCAGCCTCCTCCCTGTGCATAGGCAGCCTTGGATGGTGCTGCTGTTGTGTTTTTAAATTGCCACCCCAGCCCCTCCTGAGTGTAGCTGAGATGCCCCAGGAGGCAGAAGCCTGATGGAAACTCCCTGAACTGGCGGGACCCCAGGGAACAAGGCTGGCCGGCTTTTGTGCAGGACCGCGCCCTTCCCACGGTGGAGTTCCCTGTGTTTGCACGCTACCCATGGCCTCCCAAGCTGACTCGTCCATTGTTTAGGAGAGACAGCTGGGCAGTGGTGGGCACATGGCTGGGAGCTAGGATACCCGTGATGCATCTGCTCCCTCAGCCAGTTTTTCATGAGCTGGCAGGATGGCTATCCCCATGCCAGGGCAGACCTGGTCCCTGCTCTCGTGGAGTGTCTACTTAGCAGGCATGCAGCATGGCCAAGCTGCTCACAGGCCGTGAGCAGTAAGGGAAAGGATGGTGCTATGGTTCTGAACTCGCTGCAGAGCTTCAAGAATGAGTGGCCATGTGCCCAGCCCCACAGAGGAAGGTACACAGGCCTTGAGGCAGCAAAGCTTGGGTGTGCTCTGGATAGCAAGGAGGACCGGGCTATGAGAGGCAGGAGCCATGGCATAAGACCTCGTCCCAAGTTCTGTAGAACTGCTGTGGGGTCTTCTTCAGGGAAGGAGAGGATCTGCAGGGGTCCTTCCTTTGCTGTTCTGTGTGGTGGTGCAGGATGGGCCTCAGGTAGCAGACAAAGACCGGGAGGGGTGCGGTGGCAGGAGAACTGGCAGGGCAGGATGTGTGGTGGCAGGAGAACTGGCGGGTCTTTGTTTGGTTGAACGTGGAGAAGAGGGCAGGGAGGGGGTCCAGAATGACTTCGGTTCTCAAGTTGGCAGATGGGTGGATGGTGATGGCATTTATTGAGATGGCAAAATCTTTGGGAGGAACAAGCTTTGGAGGGAACAAGAAAAGATTTTGGTTTTGCGTGTGCTTTGAGATTTCAGATAGATGTTCAACATCAAGAACTCAGTGGGCGTGTAAGGCAGGCACTCGTTGGTGAGATGGAACATTCAGCCACAAAACACTTAAAATTCTGAGCATGTAGAGACCGTGAGGCAGAGAAGAAAGCAGGAGAAGAGGTGGTGAGGAAGGTGAGCCAGGGGATCCTGGGGACACAGTATGTGTGGGAAACAAGGGCACTGGGGTCATGGAGGAAAGCGAAGCCAGCGAGCATGGCCGGCGTTGGGTGCTGCTGAGAGTGTGGAAGGAAAGAGAGAAGAGACCCTTGTCAGCACTGAAGGAAAAGCATTCGTGACCTTGACATCTCATGTGCTTATTTATGAGTGGTGGAGAGGAAGCCAGACTGAGGTGGACAGAGGGCGAATAAAGAGTCGGGAAGTGGAGCTAGTGAGTGTCACTTGGCGAAGGACAGAGGTTGTGCTGGCGAGGGAAGCCAAATTGGGAAGGGGGCAGAGGGAGGCGAGTGGGGGAGGGATGGACCCAGGTGCATGCTAAAGTGTGAGCCCTGTGACTACAGATCTTCTCCTTTCAGATGCAGTTTCCCCAATTAAGAGATCATTCCCCTCTCTGTGTCTCAGCCCCTGCGATGCCTCTGTTCTGTGTGACCTTAGTTCTTTGACTGGGAGCATCATAACGAATATTAGAGGAATGTGCTTCCAAGTCATAAGCAAGGTGGGCAGCCCCTTGGAAAGTCGGTCACAGGCAAGGAAATCTTATCTCTGGCTTCCGTGGGGCTGGGGTGGACCCAGCTTTGGGTGGCTGTGTTCTTTTCCTTTGTGTGTGGAGTTGGGCAGAAGAATACAGTATTTTTAGACCTTTGTACTAGAAAACTTATCATGACGCTTATTTTCCTTTGTCTTAATATTCAGAAATTGCGTTTGCCTAAACACAGGCTAACGATGAAACAATTGGATCTGAAGGGTTTCGTGAACATCAGCAGGGAAAATATTCTTATCAGATGTGTTTATACAAGGAGGAAATGAATCCCAAACCTGCCCCAAATTGCACAGTCTAGATTTAGCTTACACCCATCCCCAGGAATTCTCCCTTAAATGGGCACAAAAACCTAGAAATTATTGAAAGTAAAAGAGCCAGGAGTGGTGGTACATGCCTGTAATCCCAGCAATTTGGGAGGCTGAGGCAGGAGGATTGCAAATTTGAGAAAGCCCCAGCATCTTAGAGAAACATTGTCTCAAAATAAAAAGAAAAAGGTCTGGGGGGGTAGCTCAGTGGTAGAGCACCCTGAATTCAACCCTTAGTACTGTAAAAAGAAAAAAGAAAAAAAATAAAAGGAAGAACTAGAATCCTAGAAATCCATCCTCAGATTTTATTTTAATATGCAAATGAACCTGACAAAGAAGTTCTTTAAAATAGTCCAGTGGTGGAAGATACTTCTTCCTCCCTCCCTCCCTCTTTCCTTTCTTCTTCATGTCAGGATGCACCATGGTCTTGAAGTGATGGACCAAGAACTGTGTGAGGTCTTGGTGTTGCTCCCTCAGACTGCTCTGCCCTGACAGCTGCCCTGAAGGCTTCTCTATGGTCCGACTTCAACATGGCTGGCCACGTCTTTCTTCCAAGAATGCTTTCTTCTCTCTGCTTCTGCGTATCCCAGCTTCCTAGATTGCCTACACTCTACTGACCCGTCCTGTCCCACCTGCTTTGCTGGCAGTTGGATATCGTCATTCAAATGACTTTAGACTCAAGAAGACTGAATACTGCGTCCAGAATTGCACATGTGGTAAGAGCGGAGCAGGCAGTTAAGCATGGGACCGGAACTCACCTCTTTCCCTGTCCTACATCCTGCCTTCGAAGAGCTCAGCATGGCATTTATGTGCCAGGTGTCTTGAATTCTGGAAGAACATACAGGTCAGAGTGACATGTGCATCTTTGTCTTTTAACACTTGAAATCTTTCAAAAAATTTCAAAAGATATTTCAAAAGTTAAAAGAAAACTCTGCATTCTATTTGTTGTAGATACAGAATTAGTAGCAAACTGAGAAGAGGAAAACTCAAAGTTTGTTTTAGCTTTGACTCACTGATTTCAGTGATTTACAGGAACCGTTTTCCATTTGTACCTCTCATACATCCAGTGTGGAGTCCGGGCCTCCCCAGACGTGTCTTAGAGTGGCTCCTTGCCATCTCAGCCTCCTGGGATTGCTCAGAGCCGCAGGATGCTGCAGGTCACATTAATGGCTCCTGCCTTTTCTCATTTGTTAATTATTAAAGATGCCTTTCCACACAGGAGCCCGCAGTGGCTCCCTCCAGACCCTCCCTCCCTCTCCACCAGCCCTGGCAGGAGGCCCCTGGGAGAAGTCTGACTCTGTGGTGCTTCCTGCCAGGCCAGTGCTGCTGGGCTGTCTCCTATTGTGGCTCCTTGGCTGCAGGCTCCTTCCTTGACCAGTGCAGCAGTGTGGCTCTTGCCAGAGAAGGTGCTGGGGGCTTCTCGGGGCCTCCGTCTCTAGTCTCTAGGGTACAGCTGAATTCCAGCAGCTTCTCTCGGGGCTTTCAGTTAGCATTTCTGACAGGCTCCTGGGAGGGAAGAGCTACAAGGGCAGGGTCAGGAAAAATCTCTGTTGGTTTTTATTGTTTGTGATTTATTATCGCTTCCCCCTTTTTCTGGATTCATTGTTAAAGTCAAGCTCACACTGAGAAGAAGGTTAAAATAGATCACATTAAGGAGGCGCTGACAGGCAGGAGTCGGATGTAGCTCTCCCCTCACTACTGTCTCCATGGCTGATACTGCCAGGTAATGTAGACATCTTCCCCTGCTCCTCGAGAGTGCCTCGCCTGTGGCCACGTCTTTCCCTGGTTCCACCCTTTCCACCTCCTCGACCGGCATCTCCGTTCAGCGCTTTTCCGCCTTGCCGGCACCGGCCCTAGTCTAGCCCCGGAGTGTTTTTCTGCCTCTAGTTTTGCCCTGCCTCATTGCCACCAGAGACTCTTCACAACACCTCAGGATTCTGGCACCTCCTTCCCTCAGACTCTCTGAAAGCATCCCACAGGACCTCAGTTCTGTTTCCCCGTCTCATCTTTGGACCTTCTTTGCTTTCCCCTCCACCTGCCCAGGGAGCCCTCAGAACCTTCTGGGTTTGTGCATGCTGCTGTGGCGGGACGCTGAAGACCCCGTGGTTTAAACAGCAGAGTTGTTTCCTTGCCCTTCTGCAGCTCCAAGGTCAAGGCTTGGCCTGGGAGGTTTGTG